TTTCTCCCGCTTCTTCCTCAAAGTTGTCACCTTGAAGCCTAGCAGAGCCCAGGATTTCACGCTCTTCTAACCTGAGTCCATATCCCTCAGAGAAAGACTCAAGTGCTCAGACTCTCCAGATGAAAGTCAGACACCTACATGCAGAAACCCTGCCTGGGGCCTCCTAGTTGCACCAGGACAGGAATTCTGAGGTGGGATCTACCTCAGGTCTCCTTAGAGTCCTCACTTAACACTATCAACACCTCTCTCTGCAGACCAGACTCTAACCCAGCTGGTGCAGTCTCACTTTCTCAGGCTCCCAAACAGAAGTCATGATACCACACATTCTGGGCCCAAATTGGGGCTTTCCTTGGCTGTCATAGGGGCAGGGTAGGAGGAGGGAGGTAGGGTTTGTACCTCTATTATTAACTGAGGCAATCCCCAAGTAACAAGCTTCAGCTCCTTGCTCTCAAAAGTATGAACTCAGCATTTTCTGGAACCATGCAAGGGGCTTCTCAATGCAGGGAGTAAGTACAAAGCTTCAATGTACCCACTCCCTGCAGGGGAAGGTGTTCACCCTCTAGAACCTCACCTTATGCCTAGCAATGACTGGAACTCCTCTCTCTGTTGAGTCCGGCCTCTCACAACCCCAAGTTAGAAATCAGTATAACACATACCCAACCACATTTTCTTTGGGCAAGAGACAAAGGCAGGGCTTGGACACCAGTCTCCATGCAAAGAGGGCTTCCATTTCTACCTCAGGATGTTCACCTTAAAGCTCAACAAGCTTTGGTCCTCTCTTTTCTGACCTATGCGCAACCCTTGCTAGGACATGGGACGGCTTCTTCCACGGACCCACCTCCAGCCCCACCTAACAAGTCTCAGCTCCTTCAATTACCCATGACAGATAAGGACAAACCATTTTCCAAAATCCTGCCTGGGTTTTCTCAAAGCCAACAGCAAGTACATTGAAGAGCTGCACCCAACTCCAGTAATGGAAGGCTCCTCCCTCACATTTCTCCAGGCAATATATCAAACATGTACTACTGACCTGACTATGATCCCTTCGGATGATGCCATTTCCAAAATGAAAGTTACAAAATAACAGTTAAAATCACTGAGGTGACCGCACAGACTGAGGTCATACACAAGGCAGGGCTTGACTCCCAACCACTGAAGTGGGTTTTCTCCCGCTTCTTCCTCAAAGTTGTCACCTTGAAGCCTAGCAGAGCCCAGGATTTCACGCTCTTCTAACCTGAGTCCATATCCCTCAGAGAAAAACTCAAGTGCTCAGACTCTCCAGATGAAAGTCAGACACTTACATGCAGAAACCCTGCCTGGGGCCTCCTAGTCGCACCAGGACAGGAATTCTGTGGTGGAAGCTCATGATGGAATTCAGGATACCACAAATTCTAGCATTGAAATACAGGGCAGAGCAGGGGACAGTGCCTTTTTAGGAAGAAATTAGGATACAGGCACACAGTTAAAGAAAGATTGTTGGAAAACCAAGGGAGAAGGCTGTGAGCCAACTGTAGGCCTCAGACAAGCCCACCCTGCCGACATGTGCATTTTTGACTTCTAGCCCCCAGAATTATAAGAAAATAAATTTCTCTTGTTTAAATCTCTTAGTCTGTGGTGCTTTGTTAACGGCAACCCTAGTAAACTAAGATACTCCTTTCGTTTATTAATATAGGAGTCATTGAAAATATTTTCTCCTATTAAATCATGTTTTCATTCTTCAGACAGTCTGTTCATTTAGTTCACTGCTGTGCTGAATATGCCATTAATCTATTAAGCTATTACCTGCTATGTGAGTGAGCTTGGCTCGAGTGTTCTTTAATGGGGAGTCCTCACCTGATTTTTGAATCAGTTACAGGGCACCCCAATGTGAATTGGGTTGCCTGTCTCTGGATCCTCACCCACGCGTTTACGATTCAGTCGTACTGCAGACACACAAAAAAAGATTCAATAATGGATTTATTTACAAGGAGAAAGGTAAAGGAACAACCCAGGGAAAGAGAGAGAAATACAAGTTAACTAGAATACCCTACCTTTTCTGCTGACCTGGACTCCACCTGCACACTGAAAACTGGAGAGCCAAACGACCAGCTGAGAACCACCAGGCCAAAAAACCCCCAGAGCCCACACGTCGGGTTTTATCCCAACATGACTGCTCAGCTCCACCCTCACGTCCCAGCGTGCTTCGCCTTGGGATTCATGGGATTTGTAGTTCCAGTATCTGGAGTAGGGGCGGAGTCCATGAAACCTGTTTCTGTTACAAATCGAGGAGATGTAGCCTGGAAGAAACAGTTGAATAAATGTCCATCATTTTGTCTGCTTTAGAAAATACTATGTGGGGTGGTGATTTCATTTTTCCTACCCTTTTCGTACAACTGGCCTTCAAAACTACCTGTCCCCGCAGAAGAAATGCTGAGCAAACCCAAGCTGAATTCCTGATCCCCCAAATAATGTCATACGTGAAAA